CCTCCCCCCACAAAATATAGTCCAGCCCCCCACATGGTCTGAGGGACAGTGGACTGGCCCACGGCTGAAAAAGGTTGCTGACCCCTGGGCTAGTCCTAAGCCTTAGAACACTCTACTGTCCCAGGAAGATGCTCCCTATTGCAGTTCTGGTGGCTCACCACAAGGGGCAGCATCACCTGTTTCAATCCAGGTGGCTTCTTGATTAGGACAGGTGAATGTTGTATGTCGAGTGATGCTTCAGCCATGCCAGTGGAGGCAGAGCTCTCTAGCCTAGAGATGGGTGGGTGGGTGTGCTGCTGGACTACAACATCCATCAGCTCTAAGCATTGACTATGCAGGCTGGAGCTGATGGGATTTGGTGTCTGAGAACCTCTGGAGGGCAACAGGCTCCCCATCCCAGCTTTTTAGCTCATTGGAAGGAGGAAAGGTACGCATTAAGTCATGGGTAGGCAAACTAAGGACCGGGGGCCGGATCCGGCCCAATCGCCTTCTAAATCCAGCCTACGGATGGTCCAGGAATCAGCGTGTTTTTACATGAGTAGAATGTGTGCTTTTATTTAAAATGCATCTCTTGAGTTATTTGTGGGGTATGGAATTTGTTCATCCCCCCCCCCAAAAAAAATAGTCCAGCCCCCCACAAGGTCTGAGGGACGGTGGACTGGCCCCTTGCTGAAAAAGTTTGCTGACCCCTGCATTAAGTGATCTCCATAGGTTGAGTTCAGCAGATCCTTTCATGAATTTCTTTCTCAAGATAACATGCTTTACGCATGTCTTGGATACAGATTGGGTGAGGTCTGTAAAAACGTGCCACTTTGTTTTATTGCCCTGGCTCCTCAGAAGCTGCTTGTTTGAAAACAACATGATGTGTTTCAAAATCCATAGATTCCCACCTCTCCCTTGTGAAGCGAATGTTTCCTTACAACTGTAGAACTATTTTTGGTGCAATGCTGCCACTTTCTGGCTGTTTAAGCACACTGCAGACATTTGGAATTCCCTCCGCTCTTCTGCATAGTGTTGAGTGCAGTTTTTGTTTCTGCCGTGTGTCACGGGGCACCATTTTCTCTTTTGCCTCCCCACCCCCTGTTCTGTGGCCCCCTGCCCAGGTGGACCTGAGGCGGGCGGTGGAGGAGGTGGTGAAGGAAACCCCAGAGTACCGCTGCATGCAATCCCAGTTTTCCGTTTTGTACAACGAGAGCCTGCAACTGAAATCTCAGCTTGACGAGGCCCGAACGCTGCTTCACGGCACCCGGGGTACCCACCAGCGCCAGGTGGAGCTTATTGAGGTAACGGCTTCCTCCCCTTGTTTCATCTCTTTCCTCTCACTTTCCCTGGGGTGGATCATGGCAGTTGGCACCCGCACTAAACTCACTGCTGGACAAAAAAATAGTGGTGCAATTGACTTCCGACAAGCACACAGAGTGCGAACAAGATTGAGCATATGTGTTGGGGGGAGGGGGGTTCGTTTAATTTCCCTGCACACAGGTGGTGTAGTGACAATAAAGGTTTATTTATTATTATTATATGACAAAGAGACTCTAACAATGAGGTGTTTGTAGAAGAATGGAAACCCTTTTCGGATTTCAGTCGTACCTTGCATCCCAAATGCCTTGGTACTCCAAGAAGGTTTGGCTCCTGAACACCAAAAACCCGGAAGTGAGTGTTCCGGTTTGCAAACATTCTTTGGAACCCGAACGTGCTATGGGGTTTCTGCGGCTTCCAGTTGGCTGCAGGAGCTTAGTGCGATACTGAATCCCTCCGGCCGCTTACAGTGGCACACCTGTCCTCCCTTGAAGCAGGGATCTGTGGATGTTCAGGAATTATTAAGAAGAGGGAAGCTGCAGGAGAACTAGCTGCTGCTGTTGGGTCCTTAACCCAACATGCACGGCATAAGAAGAGGGTCTGCAGCCCTTTCTCTCAGCATCTCCTCGTCCCGCAGCAAGAGGGGGCTGCTGCTGCAGTCAGAGACATCGAGGCTGAAATCTCTCTCTTTCTCACCAGCGGGATGAAGTCAGCCTGCACAAGAAGCTGCGAACAGAGGTCATTCAGCTCGAAGACACCCTTGCCCAGGTCCGTAAGGAGTACGAAATGTTGCGGATAGAGTTTGAGCAGACGCTTGCCGCTAACGAACAAGCAGGTGACTTGAAGTCGGGTTGTGCACAGAGGCACTCGGGTTTTCCTTGTTGGGCACCTCTCTTAGGGAAGCATCCACAGTAGCTGAGCTGCAGCCAGGTTAGCCTCACCTGTGCAGATAATCTGAGCACTGTGCACCTCTTGGGTATTACCATACTGTTCTGTGTATAAGACTATTTCCCCCCCTTAAAAATCATGCTAAAAAGTGGGGGTTGTAGTGCACAGGGTGGACGTTTGATTGGTTGCTGCCACGGCTGTCAGCGGATATTGTGCATGTCATCGGTTGCTGCGTCAATGGATGGTGACGCTCCGGCAGTTGGGCAGGTGATTGACAGCTTCTGTCAGCAATGGGACAGACGGGAGGCAGATTTTGCGACGCGTGCGGGTGGGCGACTTTCAGCAATCCTCCGCAAAAAAAGCTCAACTCTGTGCCATCTCCCCCCATTTTTTTTAATTTGAGTCCCCCAAAATAGGGGTAGTCTTATACACGGGGGCGTCTTATAGACGGAAAGGTCCTCTTGTCTTAAAACCTTTGTGATCTTTCAGGTAAGCCTTGAACATGTGGCTAATCAGGGATCCCCTTTTTCTAGTCAGGAACTTGCCTGAGAGCTCTCTGCCTTAGTTTTCCCTGTCTTTAGCCACTGTGACCACAAGGTCTTAAAATACCGTATTTTTCGCTCTATAAGATGCACCAGACCATAAGGCGCACCTGGTTTTTGGAGGAGGAAAACAAGAAAAAAATATTCTGAATCCCAGAAGCCGGAACAGCAAGAGGGATCTGGCTTCTGGGATAGCTGCGCGAAGCCTCTTCAGGGCAGCGGGATGAAGGCTCCCCCTGCCCAGAAGAGGCACGTGGCTAAGGCAGAAGCTTCGCAGGAGAGGCGCTTCGCTGAAGGGGCGCTGCGCAGCTCTCCCTCTCTGCGCAGCGCCATTTGCTCCATAAGACGCACTCACATTTCCCCTTACTTTTTAGGAGGAAAAAAGTGTGTCTTATGGAGCGAAAAATACGGCAAACCCTGTACGGTTGCAGATTTTGAAATACGGCTGCCGGAGACCTCTGATAGTCTGAGTTTCGTCTTTTAAAGCCGTGTTTCTCAAACCTGGGTCTCTAGCTGTTGTTGGACTACAATTCCCATCGGCCCTGACCAATGGTCTTGCTAGCTAGAGATTTCTTTTGAGAATTATTAGGGACAGAACTACCTAAATTGTATAGAAATTTATTTATGTATGCTACTGCAGCGGCAAGAATGTTACTTGCTCCAAAGTGTAAAGAAGCAAAAGTGCCAGAAAAAGAAGAATGGATACAAAAGCTTATGGAATATGCAGAAATACCGAAAAAATAAGAAATCAAGATAACAAACTTTTTATAAAAGAGTGGAAATGGCTTATTGAATATTTACAGATAAATTGTAAACAGCTAAGAACATTAGCAGGATTAATGTAATAACCTGCAGTTTTATACGTGTGTATATTTACAGTAGATAAACAAACGAGCAAGTTAAATGAACTTGGATATGCAGAAGATATTTAAGAAATAATTTAAGGAACCGCAGAAATGGGGAAGGAAGCCAAAATTTGGAAATGTTAGATTGGTTGCAAAACTAATGAAATGTATAAATTTGAAAAATATTTAAAAAAAACCTTAAAAACCCCCAAAACAGCTGGAGACCCAAGTTTGATAAACACTGCTTTAAAGGAAAAAGGAAGGGACTGGTTATACATGGAATGAATCAATACATCTAAGTTGTATGACGGCCTAGTAACTGGGAAGCGAGATTCCATGCATTTTGGTGTCTTCTACAAGGTCTCATTCTTGGCCGCTCTGGCAACCGTATTTCAGGGACAGAGTACCTGTGACCCTTCAGATATTGTTGGGCTCCAGCTTCTGTCACCTGGGCTGTAGCTGGGCTTGATGGCAGTTGGAGTCCATCCATGCCATACAGTCATTGCCCTTCATTAGGTTGGAGACAGTCAAGGCCTTTTTCGGTCCGAGGAACATATTGCCTTCTGGGAAAATTTCTAGGGGTCCATATGCCAGAGGTGGGGGAGGGGATACAAAAGCGAGCAAAGCAACACGTGCAATTTTTGTTTTAGTTTATTTTACTTATTTGTTTTGTTTTATTTATTTATTAAATTTGCATGCCGTCCTCCTTGCAAAGATCTCAGGGTGGCTCACAGCAAAACACACACACACAATTTTTCCTTTGTACAGTAGGTTAGTTAATAATAAAAATTTATTTATTTATTTATTTATACATACATACATACATACATACATACATACATACGTACGTACGTACATACATACCCCGCCCATCTGGCTGGGCTTCCCCAGCCACTCTGGGCGGATTCCAACAAAATATTAAAATACAGTAATGCATCAAACATTAAAAAACCTCCCCTAAACAGGGCTGCCTTCAGATGTCTTCTAAAAGTTAGGTAGTTGTTTATTTCCTTGACATCTGATGGGGGGACATTCCACAGCGTGGGTGCCACTACCGAGAAGGCCCTCTGCCTGGTTCCCTGTAACTTGGCTTCTCGCAGTGAGGGAACCGCCAGAAGGCCCTCGGAGCTGGATCTCAGTTTCTACACGTATAACTCACACACCCCTCTCTGTCCTCTGTCCAGGAACTGGCGAGAGATGTAGCTTAGAGGGAGAGGGAGTGTGATCTGAGGAGAGTGCCAAGGGCCAGATAGAAAGGCCTGGCGGGCCACACTTGGCCCTGAGGTTCCCCTTCCTTAGACTGGACCAGCTGGGGAAAAAATCTCCTGAAAGGAAGGCCCCTTCTCAGGTTCTTTTGCAAGCGATCTAGAAGAGCCGGAAGATCTTACCGTATCTTGGCTCTTCCCATGTGATGGTCTTCACGCAGGTCCTATCAATCGGGAGATGCGGCACCTCATCAGCAGCCTCCAGAACCACAACCACCAGCTGAAAGGGGAGGTCCTGAGATACAAGCGGAAGCTACGGGAGGCACAGTCTGATCTGAGCAAGGTAAGGGAGGTGGAGAAGCCGAGGAGACAATGGAGGAGGCTGGAAGTGAGACGGTGTCTTTTTAGGCCAGGTTTTTTAAAAAAATAGCATGTGGGAGGGACAGAAAAGGGGGCAATGCCTCTTTTTCAATTGAGCTTACCCTCAGCAGTTTTTGCGAGCATGCATTATACTGTATATCTATATTTCTCTACCTATATACACGCTCTCTCTCTCTCTACATGAGTAATAAGGGTGTTCTTTTTCGAGTTGCTAAAAAGGGCTTTCATTGATTAATCTTGAAGGCTTCTTATATACCGTATTTTTCCGTCTATAAGACACCCCCATGTATAAGACTCCTCCTATTTTGGGGGACTCGGATTTAAGAAAATGGGGGGAGATGTATCCTGTGTGTAAGACGCCCCCTAATTTTTGACATTTTTTAGGGGGGAAAACCCTAGTCTTATACACGGAAAAATACGGTACGTAGTTTTATATACATATTTTTGTGGTATTTTATGCATTGTGATTTGCTGTTTTTATTAATTATTGATTAGCAATTCTTCATCATAGTTTTATTCTTTGCTATTAGATTATAATGCATTATTGAATATTGCTTTATTTGATATGAGTTGTTTACAGTGGTACCTCGGGTTACATACGCTTCAGGTTACAAACACTTCAGGTTACAGACTCCACTAACCCAGAAATAGTACCTCGGGTTAAGAACTTTGCTTCAGGATGAGAACAGAAATCGTGCTCCAGCGGTGCGGCAGCAGCGGGAGGCCCCATTAGTTAAAGTGGTGCTTCAGGTTAAGAACAGACCTCCGGAACGAATTAAGTTCTTAACCCGAGGTACCACTGTATTTAAGATTTATTGTGGCTTTTTCCTATTGGATCAGATTGTTACCATTAATGTTTGATATTTCATTATGTATTTATATGTGCTGGAAGCCGACCAAAGTGGCTGGGGCAACCCAGCCAGATGGGCGGGGTATGATTTAAAAAATTATTATTATTATTATTATTATTATTATTATTATTATTATTATTATGAAGAGGTCGTGCTAAACTATTGAACAAGAACAATAATGAGTGTGGTAGAGAAAGCCATACCTATTGATAGCATAAGAGAGAGAGAACACAAAGAAAAACAAACCATATGGGTACTTTAAAAATTATATTTGTGTTCAGCACACAATCACTCCAAAAGCACATTGTGCTCCCACCTTGTTCTCAAAGTTCTGTCCTGGGTGTGCCAGAGCAAGGGTGTCCTTGTCTTTCCAGTCAAGTCCAAGGGCAAGAGAAGCCCATAAACAATCCTTATGGGAAAGTATTCCATGTAAGTTTTTTTGGGGAGGGGGTTATAGTTTATGCAAAAGGTCCCAAGTCCTGGCATCTCCAAGTCGGGCTGGGAATGCCCCTATCCGAAATCCTGGGTGGCGGCTGCCAATCAGAGTAGACAGCACCGCATTGGATGAACCGGCGACAGAAGCCAGCTTTTGCATGTTCTCATGCGTGCGCATGTCCCGCTGTTCTGCAGACCCGTTCCCGCAGCGGGAGCGCCCTCCTGCACTCCCAGTCCAGCACGGAGGACCCCAAGGAGGAGCCGCTGGAGATCAAGCAGGACGCCGACGACCCTTCTTCTTCTTCCCAGGGCTCTGCCTCCAAGGGCCCCTCCGAGGACGCGCTGGAGAGCAAAGCGAAACGGGACGAAGAGGAGCGGGAGCGGGAGCGTCGGGAGAAGGAGCGGGAGCGGGAGAAGGAAAAGGAGAAAGAGAAGGAGCGGGAACGGGAGAAGGAGAAGGAGAAAGAGAGGGAGCGGCAGAAGCAGAAGGAGTCCGAGAAGGAGAGGGAGTCCAGTAAAGACAAGGACAAGGGGAAGCACGACGATGGCAGGAAGAAGGAAGCCGAGTTGGTCAAGCAGCTGAAGGCGGATCTAAAGTAAGATGGGCGCAGTTTGCTCTTTGATGGTTGGATCCTTTTGGCAGTTGCCAAGTATTGTCGGTGTATAGTTGTACCTTCCAGAATCTGTTCTGGAAGTCTGCTCAACTTCCAGAACGTTCAGAAACCAAAGTGCGGCTTCCGATTGGCTGAAGGAAAGTCCTGCAGCCAATCGGAAGCCGCGTTGGACGCTCGGGTTCCAAAAAAGTTTGGAAACCAGAACACTCACTTCCAGGTTTCAGTCGTTCGGGAGCTGATTTGTTCAGGAGCCAAGGCATTTGAGATCCAAGGTACAACTGTTCTGTTCTTTTGGTGTGGCTGTTTCCGGCATCCTACATATCTGGATCTCAACAGGTGGCAGCAAGGCTCTGAATTGTGGTGCGGCTGTTGCGCCTAGCTAGCCTGTTCCAAATTTCACGCTCTTACATAACGAGGCTGCAATCTTAACCCCACTTGCTTGGGAGCGAGCCCCATTTAAGTCAGTAGGATGCGCTCCTGGGTAGGCATGGTTAAGTTTCTGCTGGTAGTAAGCCAGATGATGTTCATGGATTTGCTAGGAGCCCTCTGTGGCTGTTTCTCAGCTGTCAGCACTTTGGGCAGTGTGGATGTGTGCAGCACATGAGGCCAAATGAGCTTTCTTACCCAGTTCAAGGACAAGAACCATCACATACACAGTGATTGTCTCCCTCTTAGGATTCGCGAAAAGGTATCCCCCATTGTTTAATGTGCTGGCCTGGGTGGTTGCAGTCTCTCTTCTCTGGGCTATTGGGCCTCTTATTGCTTGTAACTTTCAGTGACTGAGAAACAGTTCTTGCACACTCCCTCTTGAGCATCCAGTTCTATTTTATTTTATTTGACAAAGTAATAATCATAAATAAATAAGAATAAAAATGTGCACCCCACCACCGAGACTATTCCATTGTAACTAATCCAGCCTCCCAAAATTCCAACACCTCTTGCGATGGTTTGATCTCTTTCCATTTTAACAGTACAAATTCGACAAACACCCTCCGTATCGCCACAAAATCATTTTTCTGGCATATTCCCCATCTTACCTTAATGGCACATGTTAATTTATCATTAATAGCTATATCCCACACCTCTTTATACCATTCTTACATTTTATATTCTGCTTGCCCCTTCCACTTCCTAGCTATCGTAATTCGTGCAGCTGTCAATAAATTTGTGAGCAAGTTAGCCTGTGATCCTTCCACCCCGTCGTAAATTGATAGTAATGCTACCTCTGGACTTTCGGTCAGCTTTAACCCAGCGATTTCTGTTATCTCCTTAAACACCGCCTTAAACAACAGAAAAATTGTGAGCATCCAGTTCTGACCATAGATCGCCCAGCTCAAGTACTGAATTGTTCTAGTTCAAACTCATTTGGATTGAAGTTTCCCTATTTTGCCCCCAATACATGCCTACTCAGAGTCCCACAATGAGATGGCAGGAAGCAGTTATTGATTTGAAGTAGACCATATCCCATAAGAGTGCCTTAGCCGCATTCTCACTTTCTTTTTTTGATATATTCAGGAAGGCTCAAGAAAGCCAGAAGGAAATGAAATTGCTTTTGGATATGTACCGCTCTGCCCCGAAGGAGCAGAGAGACAAAGTCCAACTGATGGCTGCAGAGAAGAAGGCCAAAGCTGAGGTAATTGTGCCTGCCATTGCTCAATTTATTTATTTTATTTTACTTCTCGAATTTGCATGCCACCTACCTTGTGTCCCAATACCTCAGGGCAGCAGTTCACAGCATCAAAATACAAAACACAAACACAAAATGCATAATAAAAGCAAGTCTTTCTGGAACTGTGGAGTTGGAAGTGACCGCAAGGGTTATCTAGATCCTCAATATGTGGCCTGGACAAGAATGAAACAAACCCCTCACCGCCCCCTCCAACAAACACAATTAAAAGGACATAGAATGTCAACCAGCCCATGGCCTGTCGGAAGAGGAATATTTTTGCCTGGAACCGAAAGACGTATCATGAAAGCACCATGTTCCACAAACATGGAGCCACAAACTGAAGAAAAGGCCCATTCTTTGGTTGCTGTCCTCCGATCCTTTCATGGAGGGGGCACACGAAGAAGGGCCTCAGATTATGATTTCAGGGTCCCAAGTAGGTCCATATGGAAAGAGGCGGTCCTTGAGGTATTGTGGTCCTGAGCCTTTGAAGGTTTTGGGGTCAAAACCACTACTTTGAATTGGGCCTGGAAACTAATGGACAGCCAGTCAGTTGGGCCAGGATTGGTGTAATATGCTCAAACGTCTGGCTCCAGTAAGCAACCTGGCTCCTGAATTCTGCACCAGCTGAAGTTCCAAGCAGTCTTCAGAGGTAGCCCTAATTGCAATAATTTAACCTAGAGGTTACCAAAGCATAGATGCCGGTAAGGCTATCTCTGTCCAGATAGGGGTGTAGCTGGGTCACCAGCCAAAGGCACTCCACGCCACTGAGGCCACCTGAGCCTCAAGCAACAGCAAAGGATCCAGGAGGATCCCCAAGCCACGTACCTGCTTCTTCGGAGGGAATGTAACCCCATCGAGAGCAGGCAACCTCCCATCCACCCAATATTGATATTCTGTTCTCCCGTTCCTCATGGGGCTTCTTAGGCTCTCAGTGCATCCTAAAGCAGCATAGTAACCTGGGACAGCACTTGGACATTTCCTCCATAGATTTTTGAAGGCAGGGCTGGGGAAGCAGTGACCTCCAGATATTGCAGCTTCCACCACCAGTGGCCATGTTGACAGGAGCTGATGGGAGTCGCAGTCCAACAGCATCCATTTGGACGGCCACAAGTCCGTCCCCCCACTTAAGGTCCATTGCTGCAAAGTCCTCCCCACTTTTTGCGAAACGCAAAGGGTTCTGTGGAGGATGGCGCTCTGCCTTAAAGCTGTATTGTGGACCTGGGGAAAACTTGATTCCCCACCGAAGTTTAATTCCTTGAAAACCGCATGTATCCTAGACAAATTTACTCTGGGAGGTGACGGCCAAAGGTTGGTAGTAGCTTTTTGTGACCTTTTAAAAAATCCCTTTCCTGGTTATTATTTTTTCAACAAAACAACACCACCACAAACTGGCTTATAAGTATAAAACCAAATTTACTAGAATAATAGCTAGAATAGAGATAGACTTGTAATCATTCAAACAACAAACATACTAAGGTGCCATGTGAAAGACAAAGCCTGGAGATACTGTAAACATGGAGTGGATAAATATACAACTGTATCTTAACAAGTTAAGGTAAAGGTAAAGGTACCCCTGCCCGTACGGGCCAGTCGTGTCCGACTCTGGGGTTGCGCACCCATCTCGCTTAAGAGGCCGGGGGCCAGCGCTGTCCAAAGACACTTCCGGTCACGTGGCCAGCGTGACAAGCTGCATCTGGCGAGCCAGCGCAGCACACGGAAACGCCCTTTACCTTCCCCGAGTAAGCGGTCCCTATTTATCTACTTGCACCCGGGGTGCTTTCGAACTGCTAGGTTGGCAGGCGCTGGGACGAGCAACGGGAGCACACCCCGCCGCAGGGATTCGAACCGCCCCGACCCTGACGATAGGCACTGAGGTTTTACCCACAGCGCCACCCGCGTCCCATTTAACAAGTTACATGTGCAGTAAACGTTATACAGACTGGATAAATGGTTCTGTTGTTTGAATGGTTACAAGTCTATCTCTATTCTAGCTATTATTCTAGTAAATTTGGTTTTGTACTTATAAGCCAGTTTGTGGTGTTGTTGTTTTGTTGTATTATTATTACTGTCACCACATTTGATACTTTGTGTATATACTTATTATTTTTTCAACCCAACCTCCTTTCCCTGACCTACCTCTTGCCAGTTGGAGGAGCTGAGGCAGAGGGTGAAGGAACTGGAGGACAAGGAGAAGAAAGAGAGCAAAAAAATGGCAGACGAGGACGCGCTTCGGAAGATCCGGGCTGTGGAGGAACAGATAGAATACCTGCAGAAGAAACTCGCCATGGCTAAGCAGGTGAGGAGCGTTAGAGAGAAAGTTTCTGTATAAAAATAGGAAGAGATAAAACAACGAGTTTTTATTTTTCCAAAAGGCCTTTCAAAATAAAATAGTGAATATAGTCTTCTATCCTTGTGGTAAATTTGCAGTACAAAAAACCAAAAAAGATCCCTTGCCCATCTTTATAAATCTGTGTTCACACAATACATTGTCCTTTGGTTGTACATGGTGAGTTTATATGTTATCGCCATATGCCAGAATCTACAAAACCATTTTGCTTTCTTAAAAAAAACCCTAATACGTTGAAATCAATCTTTAGCTGCAGTCAGGAGTTTAGTTACCACTTCTGCATCTGTACTCTCTACTCTTCTAGATAATTTATTGGATTTTTTTTGGGGGGGGGATTCCAACTATGTGATTTGGTTTTATATAGTCCAAAGTATGATTGCAGTAAAAAAAAATTATCTTGTTATGTTTCCTGAAAATATGAATATAAAATGTGTGTGATATACCACATCTCCACAGTAAGCATGGGCTAGACTATACGTGTTTCAGTTTATGAGGGGTCAAAGACATTTGGTGTCAGGTTTTGTGGTAATGATCTCTTAGATTTATTGCTTACTAATATTGTCCCCTGTTTTATTGCCAGTCCAGCCCCAAACTCTGTCCTGTGTATTAATCTCCAGATCTTTCTCCCATTTTTTTTAAAATGCTTGTTTTTTCCTTTCTTGTAAATTTCAAAGAGGAACTCATAAATACTGTGGTACCTTGGGTTACAGACACTTCAGGTTACAGACTCCACTAACCCAGAAATAGTACCTTGGGTTAAGAACTTTGCTTCAGGTTGAGAACAGAATTTGTGCGGTGGCAGCGGGAGACCCCATTAGCTAAAGTGGTGCTTCAGATTAAGAACAGTTTCAGGTTAAGAACAGACCTCCAGACCTTCTTAACCCGAGGTACCACTGTCTGTCTGTGGCCATGCTTGCTGGGGCTGGTAGGAGTTCAGGAGCACCCCCACCCCTGGTAGAAAGAGAAGGTTTGAAAGTGCAGCCTCGTTTCCCCATTGGTTGCTCTGCCATTCTTCCAGGAAGAGGAGGCGCTGCTCTCCGAAATGGACGTGACTGGCCAGGCCTTTGAGGACATGCAGGAACAGAACATCCGCCTGATGCAGCAGCTCAGAGAGAAGGACGACGCCAACTTCAAGCTCATGTCGGAGCGCATCAAATCCAACCAGATCCACAAGTTGCTGAAAGAAGAGAAGGAGGAGCTGGCAGACCAGGTGCTCACCTTGAAGACACAGGTGAGTGGGGAAAGGGGAGTTGGACAGGAGGAGCAAAGGGCTCAGTGCTTGGGGTTCAGAATTCAGTTTCCTGAATACTTCACCTGTCGCCTTCAAGAAAAAGCAAGGTTTTCTTTTAGGGTCCCCCCCCCATATTTTTCAAATTTATACATTTCATTAGTTTTACAATCAATTTAACATTTCCAAATTTTGACTTCCTTCCCCCTCTTTCTGCGGTTCCTTAAATTTGTTTTTTAATATCTTCTGCATATCCATTCTGCTCATTTATTTATCTTCTGTGAATATATACTGTTATAAAACTGCAGGTTATTATTATATTATTCCTGCTAATGTTTTTTTATCAATTTACAATTTATTTGTAAATATTCAATAAACCATTTCCATTCTTTTATAAGAAAAGTTTGTTGATTTCTAATTCTTTCGGTAAGTTTCGCCATTTCTGCATATTCCATGCGTTTTTGTATCCAGTCTTCCTTTTCTGGGACTTCTGCTTGTTTCCACTTTGGAGCAGGTAACATTCTTGATGGCTGTGATGAGCAGAATGGATAGCTCAGTTGGTTAGAGTGCAGTGCTGATTGATGCAGAGGTTGCAGGTTCGATCCCTGTTCCTGCAGTGCAGGGGGTCAGAGTAGATGACCCTCAGGGTCCCTTCCAACTCTACAATTCTGTGATTCTGTGTTCTTGCCTCTTAAAGGTGGATGCCCAGTTGCAAGTTGTACGCAAGCTAGAGGAGAAAGAGCACCTCCTGCAGAGCAACATTGGCACAGGAGAAAAGGAGCTGGGCTTGCGAACCCAGGCCCTTGAAATGAACAAGCGGAAGGTAAGCTCGAAAAGACTGCCTGCCCCTGTGTAGGCCTGTAAGATTACCGAGATCATCTGGGGGAAATTTTCTTTGGGGTGCCACAACCTTCAGAATATCATAGGGCAGTGGCTCAAAACCAGGCATTATCCATCATTGCCCTTGCATTGTGGAATGCCCTTCCTCTTCCATTTGAGAAGCCTTATTCAAAGCCCCAGGCTTTCTCTGACCCATAAGATTGGACCCTGTTATTCTGGCATTTCTGCTTCTGTAACAGCTGTTTTTAGTGGCTCTTATATTGCATCTCAAGGGACGCAGGTGGCGCTGTGGGTAAAAGCCTCAGCGCCTAGGGCTTGCCGATCGAAAGGTCGGCGGTTCGAATCCCCGCGGCGGGGTGCGCTCCCGTTGTTCGGTCCCAGCGCCTGCCAACCTAGCAGTTCGAAAGCACCCCCGGGTGCAAGTAGATAAATAGGGACCGCTTACCAGCGGGAAGGTAAACGGCGTTTCCGTGTGCTGCGCTGGCTTGCCAGATGCAGCTTGTCACGCTGGCCACGTGACCCGGAAGTGTCTCCGGACAGCGCTGGCCCCCGGCCTCTTGAGTGAGATGGGCGCACAACCCTAGAGTCTGTCAAGACTGGCCCGTACGGGCAGGGGTACCTTTACCTTTACTTTATATTGCATCTCTGTTTTTATGGTACTGTTGTGTTTTCGTATGCCGCTTAGATATTTTAAATGTTGAGTGGTCTAGAAATGCTTTTAAATTAATTAATGGAAACAGATAGGTATAAGTTGCTTACCATGTCAGTATGATGGTTATTGCACCAAAACCCATCGGAGCTCTTCATGTAGCTCAATTAGTGATCTTGGACCAGTCCCCTGCCACCCGCAGGGCCGTTTGCGATTTTAAACGCCGGTGGGCTCATAATAGTGCCTTGTGCTATTTGGGAGGAAAGGCAGAATATTGATGTAACGAATACAAGTAAAAGGAAAAGCAGCATTATTTATTAGAAGGTGTAACTCGCCCTTTACATTTAAGAAAGCTAGCGATAAAGTAAGACAAAGCAGGAACCCATGGCTGCAAAAGAACATAATAAAAACACCAATAGGCAGAAAGAAACCAATAAAGCAAACTGCAAGCTGAGCAGAGGAGCAGTTATCCTCAAAGCCAGATGAAACGCTGTGAAAAGCCCGAGGGGGCCAGGGGCTCAGTTTGCCTGGTGCCTGGAAGGTAGTTACGAAGACACGCCGACCAGCTTCTTTCTCTCTGAGCTGCAGCGGCTGTGTGAGTCCTTTGAACGCTTGCCCCATCATTAATGCGAAGGAACGGTTATTTTATTTGATCTCCCTCCAGGGGGAAGCTGCTGAGAAATCCCAAATAATGCCGTAATTAGGACGCAAAAACAGATTATACATACCCCTCTGGAGTTGTTTGTTTTTCCAAAACAAAAAACCCCACACACCACCCCAAACCAGTGGCCACAGAGATTTGATGAAGACCAAAAGGGGCAGTGGATGAAAGGAAGAGTGGAACTTCAAAGGGATAACGAGCAGGGCAGCCAGATGAAAATAATTAGCTCGGCAGAGGTTTCCGGGAGGGATAAGTGACGAGAGAGTAACAGGGAAGCAGAGCAAGCAGTGGGGTCAGAGGTCAGGAGGAGAGGAGGGGGGTTGATGATGATGGTGATGAGAATCCCTTGGAAGGGTTCCCCCCTGAAGAAATGGCACTGGTGGGAATGGGAACAAAAAAGAGTGGCGTGCTGTTTGGTTTCTGGCTACTCCATCACCTGCCCTTGGTTGGTATATGTGGGCGCAGTGTGGAGATGAGAATGATCCTGCTGGGATACACCTCTCTGCCTGTTGGCCATGCTGGAGAGGCTGGTGGCATTTGGTCCTGTGATATCTGGAGGACCTCAGGCCTTCTGTTAACCCATCCAGGTTATTCTTAGCTCCTTATCCTTTGGCTCTAAATCTTCCCTTTGAAGATTTTGCCAAAGCAAAGCCTAAAAGCTTTGCTGCCTTTGAGTAGGGAGCTGTGAGCAAAAAGGTCTGCAGATGCCTTTTAAAAGTGGGAAGGTTGACACTCTGGGCTGCTTTTGTCCATCCCTGCAAGGTCAGCAGCTGGCCAGAAAGAGAGGATCTTTCATTGTTTTGCACTTCAGGCTATGGATGCGGCCCAGCTGGCTGATGACCTTCGGGCGCAGCTGGAGCTGGCGCAGAAGAAGCTGCACGACTTCCAGGATGAGATCGTGGAGAACAGTGTGACCAAGGAGAAAGACATGTTCAACTTCAAGCGAGCCCAGGTACCCAGCAGGCGGCTTTGGCTACCTTGGGCCAAATCTGCCTTTGCTTCCATTCATATTAACTCAAAGTTCCTGCCTCTTGCCCTCTGCCAGTGCTTTGGTTTCCACCTTCTCTGAATGGTTGCCCTCCATCGCCATGGCTCAACTTCAGCTGTTTTCACTCACTGTTTTTCTCCCTGGTCGCTGCTGGTTGTGAATCCCTACTTAAGAAGAATCTCTACGTAGGAAGTTGCCATGTGTTGACTCAGACACTTGGTCTGCTCAGCAGAGCTTTGTCCACAGATACTGATGGCAACTGCCTGGGGTTCAGGCAGGGGACATTCCCAGTCCTGTCAGGAGATGCCAGGGATCGAAACGGGCACCTTTGCATTTGAAACATGTGCTATACTGAGTACTGCAGAGACTCTGTCTTTGTCCAGCAATACAACTGGCCAGTCAAATGCTCTAGGAAGCACATTTGACATCCCTCACTTCCTGAAGCTGGAGCTTCATGGTCACATTGCTCTGCCTCATCCAAATTATCTAAGCTAATCATGTATCATACCAGTATGTTTTGAATGTGTGTGATGCGTCCTCCCTTGTGAAGAAGCCCCCCCCCCACTTTTTAAAGGAAAATGGGCAGAGCTTGCAAATTTACACCTGGGAGCCTTTTGCAGCTCTTAGGAGAGAAGGTGCTGGTCCTAATGACATGTATTTGGCTAATGTTCCCCTGCAGGAAGACATCTCGAGGCTGCGGAGGAAACTGGAGACCACCAAGAAACCTGACATGGTTCCCAACTGCGATGAGATCCTTATGGAGGAGATCAAAGATTACAAGGTAGGCAATGGGATGTCAACGTCCCCCTTGGAGGATGGATTTGGGCTGAGCCCGATTAGCATTGGAAGTAGACCCCAGTTAGCAGTGCCCAAGGGACTGTGGCTGGGACATGGCAGCAGTTCTGAGCTAATCGCAGGAGAGAACCCTCTGACCCTTTGGGGCAGTCAGAGGTGAGGAACTAGTGGCCTTCCAGATGTGACCCCTCCCCTCACCTCCCATCAGACCCAGGGATGATAAGAGTTGCAGTCCTAGCAACATCTGGAGAGCCACAGGCTCCCCACCCTGATGTAAACAATATGGTCCTGGCGGCTGCTCCCAGTCACCAGTCTAGCTGCCGCATTCTGGATTACTTGTAGTTTCCGGGTCACCTTCAAAGGTAGCCCCACGTAGAGTGTATTGCAGTAGACCAAGTGGGAGATAACCAGGGCATGTACTACTCTGGCAAGATAATGCGCAGGCAGGTAGGGTCTCAGCCAGTGTACCAGGTGGAGCTGGTAGACAGTGTGAGTCTCCACAGAGAGCTGCGAGCCCAAAATGACTCCCAGGCTGCGCACCTGGTCCTTTAGGGGCACAGTTATTCCATTCAGGACCTGGGAATTTTCTTAATGTTTAATTATGTTTTTATATATGTCAGAAGCTGCCCAGAGTGGCTGTGGAAACCCAGTCAGATGGGCAGGGTACAAAGGAATTATTATTATTATTATTATTATTTTATTATTAGCCTCGGCAGCAGCCAGGTGTACCTTAAACGATGCCTCTTTCTTTCCCAAGGGCCGCCTGACCTTGCCCCTGCTGCAACATGCGCAAGAAGGATGCTGTGCTCACCAAGTGCTTCCACGTCTTCTGCTTTGAGTGCGTGAAAACGCGCTACGACACCCGGCAGCGCAAGTGCCCCAAGTGCAACGCTGCCTTCGGGGCCAACGACTTCCATCGCATCTACATTGGCTGAGCCTTCCGAGTTGCAGGAGGCCAGAGAACCCTCTCTTGCTGCCAACCACCATATTCGTTTCCCATCAGCAGGCTGGCTACTGCCCCTCTCTTTCACCCATTTTCTTTTCTTTTTGTAATGGCAGATCCCTTTTGGCTGGAGGGTACAGTCGGGTTATTGTTAATTATTTTTTTGTACTCTTGGCTTTTGTTTTTTTTAATCTTCAGGGGGTCCCTTCCCCCACTGGCTTTTCCTTTAGGCACAGCCCAGCCACAAAGCCAGTCATCAACCGTTGCCTGTGCCTGTTATAGATGGTTGTTGTGGAGACACGGTGTATGCTTTCGGCCCTGATGCGAATTGGCCTGTGGCTTAAACCAAACAGCAACCTTAAAACTGGGAAGTCGGCTTGGAAGTAGTTTTCATCAAACTTTCTCATCGCTTTAAGTTCCTTTACTTTCTAATAAAGGAGAAAACTCTTCTTCCCGGTTCAAAGTGTCTCACTGTTTTGTGTATGTCCGTGCTTGCAGTTGTGTGTACTGAGAAGCTTGTGGAGTCTCGATGGTCCCACACACAGTAAGGGTTGTATCAGGGTGACCTGGTGTAACCCTTTAAAGGCTCACTGTAGGCAGGCACTGGTGTGTGGGCAGAAAAATGATGGAAATGAAACCACCCCAGGCTTAAGACTGGACTTAATCCTGACCTTCTGAAGCGAGGCAAGAATTTCTAGTGACGTGCACATAACAGAGCTTGAGGTTTCAGAAGGTGATGGGCCCATCTCTGCCTCTGGACCAATGCGCATGCCTTGCTGCACCAGAAGAGGAAAGATGCAGAAGTGAATCTTTGGTTGACTTGACAGCCCTGGGTGTTGACATACACACTCGTGTGTGTGTGTGTGTGTGTAGATAGATGGTGCAGCCTTGAGCAATATCCTGAGTGTGTTGAGCGTTCTGCTGTGCCCTCTTTGTGTAGGGCCAATACACTGTTCCGCGACAGATTTACAGCATCTCTGCTACTGACTTTCAGACTTCGAGATTGCTGAAGTATATACAACAACAAAAATCAAGTTGAGTCGTGTGACTCAAATTGGGTCTTCTAGACCCCTAAATTTTAAGCAATGTAGACTAAAGTTGCTTCTGGGGCCCCTCTGGGATTAGGGGCCGTGAAGCTTAAGCTTCATTAGTTTCATAGTACAGTGGTACCTTGGGTTACAAACTCCGCTAACCCAGAAGTAGTACCTCGGGTTGAGTACTTTGCCCCAGGATGAGAATGGAAATTGCGCAGCGGTGGCAGCAGGAGGCCCCATTAGTGAAAGCGCCTCAGATTAAGAACGGTTTTGAGTTAAGAACGGACCTCTGGAATGAATTAAGTTCGTAACCCGAGGTACCACTGTAGATCCACCCCTGGGATCTACAGGAAGCATTTGGGGTCTTTGGAGGAGGCTTGGAATAGATGGGAAAAGGCCAGATCCATCTTGGGGAACCAACCCCCACTTGAGGACCATACTGTGAGATCTGGACTCCATCTAAAAATATGTGACTAAATCATACTAAAGCTATGACAGTATCGGCTGCGTCGTCTTTTCTCCAAAGGAGCACTGACCCTGGTTGAGGAACAAGACCCCTGGGATCCCATTTCTGTAGGAATAACAATATATACATATAGGCCTACAGAAGGAAACATCTATTCCTGGTTGCCCTGAGTTTTTGTCATAATTTAAGAGTATGAGAAGTAATTTTGGTGCTGCAATAAACTAAGGGAGCCAGAAATCCTTGCCTGATCTACTGCAGATCAACCAGAGATCTACCAGTGCACACCTGGAATCCCATCTTTATCGTAGGAGAATTAACATGGGCCACGTTTTAACTTCTGCCCTTTCTGTGTCTGGTTTGCCAGTCACAGTTCAACTGAAATATTTGTTCTGTAGTGCATCCATCAAGAGCTGCCTCAAACTTCAGGCTGCTGAGCTGTTTCTGCCCATCAGGAGACGAACAGGGCAGAAGGATTTGTCAGCTGCGCATCAGAGGCGTACGGACTTCTACCTGCTTGAAGAGTTCCTGACAGTCGAGACAGACAGTTGTGGCCCAATTGAAACTTGGCATGTGCCACATAAAACCTGTGCATAGTGTGAGTTTCTGTTTCATGTTCTAGCCCATCCTATCTGTCTCGGGTGGCTGGAGGCAGGTTTCAAAATCTTTTCAGCTGTTAATACACTTACAGGATCAGTGTGAGTCACCACCCTTGACTGCTCCGCTTCCTGGCATCCTGGAATGTACTGCTTACATAAAGGACTCTGAAGCCCTGCAGAACTTGCTTTGGGCATCCGGTTGGAGACATAGAACCAAGAGATCTGTTTTCCACTGAGCTGTCCTTCCTGGTGTATGGGCTGCATAAATGGAAGATGTTCAGTGCCAGAGAGCAGCAAACTCTGTATTTGCGGGGGATCTTTTAAACCTGAAACAGTCGGGTTGTAGCTGCACTACTGTCTCCCAGAAGCAGAAGAGAATTGAAGTGGAAGGAGCGGATATAAACTCCGGCTGTGTGTGAGCAGCCCATTGAGGGAAGACACATCAGCTGGTGGAGGGAGAGCGCCTCCCTGTTGCTGCAACTGTTCCATAGAACGCAGACCTAGGAACAGATGCCTAGATGCTAGGCTGTTTTGCATGGGTATTGGGGCCGTGGAAACTGCTGTGTCAGCTTTGCCAATACAGTGGTACCTCGGGTTACATACGCTTCAGGCGACATATGCTTCAGGTTACAGACTCTGCTAACCCAGAAATATTACCTCGGGTTAAGAACTTTGCTTCGGGATGAGAACAGAAATCGTGCAGCGGCAGTGGGAGGCCCCATTAGCTAAAGTGGTGCTTCCGGTTAAGAACAGTTTCAGTTTAAAAACGGACCTCCGGAACGAACTAAGTACTTAACCTGAGGTACCACTGTAGAGAGTTAACTAGCTGCCGTGTGCATTCCTTTAGCTAGGAGCGCTTCTCCTGCAGCAAACACCCCAGTGTTAATAAATTTCAGCAGGACTCAGGTGTGCTTTTAACTGTCTCACGATCTTGTTCCATGTGTGAAAGTTTCCTATCATTACATCAGCATATAAAAGTCACCTGAAAGCCTATGGTTGCTGATGATTATAGGCAAGGCAATCATGGGATCCTGGGTTGGTCGTCTCCCTTGATCAAAGTGGATTTGCTCTTCAGACAGCAACAGTAACCCATCATGCAAATCAACCAGCCTAAAAAAAATACTATTAAAATTTATTTCAAAACCAAAAACATACAACCATGACCAGCACCTCCCTGACCCCCACCAACCCACCAACCGGAGTTTCCAACCAGAAAAGGGAGACGATAGCCAGAGCTGATTTGTAGAAGTTGGGGGTGGACTTCATTAATTCGCACCAAAGCTGCTGAATGTCTAGTAGTGCTGGCTTTCTGTTGGATAATTGAAAGAACAAAAGAAAAGAAAGTGTCATATGTACCAGAAGAGGAGGGAAAGAGAAGGGTTTTTTTTGGTAGGGTAAAATTGCCTGGTGGCCCTTAGTGGGAGATGCTATCTAGTAATATCGGAAGCTACCTTATACCGAATCAGACCATTGCTCTATCTAGCTCGGACAGGCAGTGGTTATTTGGGAATTCGCCAACCCTACCAGGGATTAAGACTATATGCAAGGCAGATGCCATACCAATAAGCTATTCTTCTAGGCATTGGCCAGTATACCTCCATTGGGTTCTCAAGCCTTGGGATTCAGAGAAAGCAGTGAGCCAAGATTCAGTGGCTGCATTCCTTTAAGTTCCACACATGGATATAAGATGCATAGGGAAGTCCATGTGGCATATGTGTAGCCCTATATTTCCCCCTTATTGCCCTGCAGCAGACAGAAAAACTTGAAAAGTAAACCTGCTGCCCAATCGTGGTAAGCAGGTTACTTTGGCATGATTCCTGCCTCCTCGCTCACTGCTTGCCTGCCTTTCCACATAATGAGCACCCTGGCTCTATGGTAAGGGTAGAGTCCTCAGTTGCACTGGCTTCCAAGCAAGGCATATGTGGCCAGTTTGGCACATAAGCAGGCAACTGCCTTAACTGTGTTAACCAGGAAGAAATGCCTGGTACCTGAAGTAGCATGAGAACACATATGGCAGGGAGCCTCAGGCCTAGCTGAAGGAACGTCTCCATCCCCATCGTTCAGCCCAGACACTGAGGTCTAGCTCTGAGGGCCTTCCAACGGAAGTGAGAAGTGAAGTTACAGGGCCTTCTTGGTAGTGGCGCCTGGCTGCGGAATGCCCTTCCGTCAGGTTTCAACCAAATAAACAACTATGCGACTTTTAGAAGACACCTGAAAGGGAGCCCTGTATCGACAAGTTTTTAGTGTTTGGTGTTTTGCTGTGTCTTTTATATTCTGTTCGAAACCACACAGAGTGGCTGGGGTAACCCAATCAGATGGGTGGGGTATAAGTATATTATTTATTTATTTACTTATTTAGGGCCAAATGAATCCACCAGAACTGTAGAGCCCTTGGAATGCTTCTAACTCTTTGAAGTGTGGTAATTCCTCTTGCTTGTCTTTATGGTGAGATGTGGTGAGGCCTCTGATTCCCCCCCCCCCCGTATAAAGGTCACAGTTACCCCGATAGCTCCACCCACTTTTGTCTCTTGCCCCGCCCACCCCTTGGAACGCACCGCTTGCGAAGGAATATGTCCCTCTGGCTAGAGAGTCTCCACCCCTTACCTATGGAAACAGGGATATAGTATGTCTCAAAGCAACATGCTAAATGGCCCACGCCGGTAGAAGAATCTTTGTCCCTTATCAGTGGTGTACAGTGAAATTTTTCGTAGGGGAGCAGCTCGCAAGGGCGATGGGGATGTTGCATGTGTGAGCATCGTACCTCCCTCCCTAAACCGGACAGAAGCTTCCCGGGCTTTGGGAAAGAGTCGCCAGGCCAGACAGGATGCTGGAGCCCTGCTGCCTCCTTCCCAAAGCCAGGTGGACATTGGGAAGAGGGTAAAATGGTTCTTGAACCCTTCAGAACATCATGTCTCTTTCCCTAACCCAGGCAGAAGCTTCCTGGTTTTGGGGGAAGGAGGCGCCAGGCTTTGATAGTCTAATTTACTGGGAACGTTTAGGGGACTAATCTAGTCCCCTTAGTCCACCGACTGAATGTCACTGCTCCTTATGTATGTATGGGGTGTGGGGAAGTGTAGGTGGGATGATTTGCCTGTTTGGTTGTATGCCGTTGGACATTTTGTCGCACCCACTGCTTGCATAGCACCCGCATAAAGAACAAACATCGACAACTGGAGAGCAAGCCACCACCGGCAACTTACACAACACATTTCACGGAAGGATACCACGTCGTGCTTCAAAAACATTTAAAGCCATGGCGCTGGCTTTTAGAGCAACCCAATAAGCCAGAGGTTCCCCATCAACAGCCTTAAAACAACAGGTCCCGAAATCATGACTGGGAATCTTAGGCAAAATAGATAAAAGCACTCTGGAAAACTAGAAACACTTCAAGAAAAACCATACAATAGATAATTTTATCTGTAGCTTTTTTCAAAAAATAATAATTTTAAAATATTCTTTTTTGTGTGGAAAACCGGAGTACAAAGCCTGCTGATTCTCTGAAAGAACCTGAGGGTGGCTGGGCCCTGCCCTGACAACTGATTTTTGAGAAGGGAAGAGGGCAGAGGTTGGCAAGGAGATGTCAGATTGTATTTGATCGCTGAGAGCTGATCCACACACCAGAGCCAGGATGCGGCAGTTGAGTTCTGGGCTGTACCGTTGAAGATGGGAAGAGTGGGAAGCCACATTCTGAGTGCTCCCCCACAGGGGAAAAACGAGAACCCTGCCTGCATGTTGGTTAAGGCTTGGTGCTGATAACACCAAGGCTACAGGTTTGATTCCTATATGGGACAACTGCATATTCCTGGCTTGCAGAGGGCTGGACTAGATGATTTCTTGGGTCCCTTCCAACTCTACAGTGGTTCTGTTCAGCAGCCCAGCATAGGGGGATATTGATACCAGTGTTGTTGAGATTGGCTAATGAAATTAACAGAAAAGTTTCACGCTAACAACGCCTTGGGGTTCCTCAGCACGCAAAGGTGTATTTCCCCCCACCCACCCCCACCCCCAGGCAGGCCGTAACAAATTCCACTAGCAAACTCCAAACAAAGCACCACTAGGACGCACAAATCTGAATCATCATTTTAAGTCTTTCAAAAAATAAAATAAAAAGCACAGAAAGGGCTAAAAAGTGGGGATTCCATTTGAGAGCGTGGCAAGAAGAAAACCAGGGAGCTGTGTGTTCTGGATGCTTGGAAGAGTCCCCCAGAGGCTTGGAAGCATTTCCTGCAGCCTGAGGGTCAACCCTTCTTCAGATGGAGGGCGAAGTTTTCCCACGGAGCCGTTGCCTCTTTGAAATGTTCCCGGAAGAGGGAACCAAGGGTGCTGGCGCCTTCTGCAAAAAAATGCTGGTTTTGCAGGAAGCAGCCGTATTGCTTGTTGATTCCGGTGCTGCTTTCTGGCATTACAAAAAAAAGAGAGAGAAAGAAAGAAAAGTGCATTATGAATAGTTACAGGGAAGAGAGGGCTTGTGAGGGCCGGAGCCCAGCCACTTAGGGCTCCGCAGTCCTGTTTGTCCTCTGAAACTCTTCCAGCTCCAGTTTCCTGCTCATGGCCAACTGCAGTTCCTGCTTGATAACCTGAATCTGCTTCTCCAGCTCAGAGAGCTCTTGGATCACAGAGGTCCTGGCCACGTTGAGGGAGTCCGCTTTCCCGTTTGTGGTCAGCGATGCTGGGGAGTCTCTCGTCAGGAGGGGGAGAGGGATGTCTTGCTGCTGCTGCTGTTGTGGCGACTGTTGCTGCTTAAGCACCACTTCGTTTTGGCTCTCTTCACTGCAGATGTATTTCTTCCGAAGGCAGTTGCTTGGGCTGGCTGTGTTCCAGACTGAATGCTGGCTGTTCCCTGCGTTGGACCTGCAAAAAATAAAAATAAAAAAAATCACAGTTATTTCTGCCCGACCTACAGTGATGGAATATTTGCTGAAAGCATTCAAAATTTCACAAATGGCCAAACAGATACAATCATACCTCGGGTTACAGCCGCTTCAGGTTGCGTTTTTTTTGGGTTGCGGACCGCCGAAAACCAGTACCACCAGAACGGGTTACTTCCAGGTTTCGGTGGTTGCGCATGCGCAGAAGCGCTAAATCGCGCTTTGCGCGAGCGCCGAATCGCCGAATCGCAACCTGCGATTTTTTTCTAATTACCATGGGAAATATGGATTGATATAATAGAGTATGGAATAAGATGCAGCTTTAAATGTTTAAAATGGGACTCCAGGGAGGGGGAGGGGGAAGTCCTGAAATTTGGAGGAATCTCTGTATATGGTTATGTATTTGATTTTTCAAAAAATAATTTTGTATTGTAAAATCAAAAGTGATTTCATTATTATTATTATTATTATTATTATTGTTATGTAGTGTAGTTTCACCCTGGGCCAACAGGGGGATACTGTATATAGTTTTCACTCAGGTCTGTAGATAGTTTTCACTCAGGTCCGCGCCAGTTATTTTAGGCGGGAACTCTGGGCTGTTGTGGTTACAATGTTGACAGCCGGCTGCCTATAAATACAGGCCGGCTGAGCTGTTCGCAGTCAGTTCTATTCCAGCTTACCAGAATAAAGAGCTACTTGAAGAAATCGCTGTGCCGGCTGCTATGTCAACCCACGACTTAACACTGGCGACGAAGGTGGGATGGATGGACATCAGAGCACAGCCAGATGCGGCCAGCCTCTGAACTGAGCTGAATCACTGAGCTGAATCACAGAGCGAAATCACTGAGCGAAATCACTGGGCAGAACCAATTCAGAGCTGACTGTTCTGACTAGAGCACTGTGTTCCATCCATCGCCCTTCACGCCGGCATCGGAATCATGGCTTCACTTGTGCCTCTACCGCCGTTTGCGCCAGCCTCTGAATCATGGGACTCCTACCTCGCTCGGTTCGACTGCTACCTCCAAGCCAACGAGCTGACAGCAGTATCAAAGGATCGGAAGCGGGGCCTATTCCTCAGCCTCTGTGGGCCTGAGGTGTTTGAGACGGCCCGAGCGTTGGTTGCGCCTGAAGCAGTCCAGGCAACACCATGGGACACGATCCAAGAGAAGCTCCGCAACCACTACGCACCAAAGCCGTCCAAGATTGCTGCCCGCCATGCGTTCTACCACCGGAACCAGGCAGAGGGGGAGTCAATCAACAACTACACCACCGCCCTGCGACAGGCTGCAATGCACTGTGAGTTCCGAGACTTAGACGATGCCCTGATGGATCGAATCGTCTGCGGGGTCCGGGACATCCATCTGCAACGGCGCCTCCTAGCCAAGCCAGACCTCACGCTACAGAAAGCCATTGAGGAGGCTGTGGCCTCAGAAGCTGCTGAACGCTCCGCCCAGGAGATCCGCAAGTCCAGCAGCCCGCGTCTTGCTAGGGAGCCAGTTCCGGTGCATCATGAAGAGGCCAGCAGTGATGAGGCATCCTCCAGTGAAGACGATGACGTGCACCAGACAAAGCGGGAGCGCAGGAAGTTCCAACAGAAGTCCAAGGGCCAACCGGAATGTGCTGGCTGCGGAGGCAACCATTCCCGTGCCAAGTGTCGATTCAGAGACGCCATCTGTAGGAAGTGTTCCAGAAGGGGCCACATCGCTAAGGTCTGCCGATCGGCTCTGTCTGACACCCCCCCTTCATCGACTCGCAAGTCCAAGTCTTCACTCCAGTCTGCCAAGGAAAGTTGTTTCGCTCTCACCAACTGCCGCTGCCCGTCTGGAACCACGATTGGTCAAACCGACTCGCCTACGCGACGCAAGCTGAACGTCACGGTGCTCATTGAAGGAGCTCCATGTGACATGGAGATCGACACCGGGTCTGCCCTGTCCATCGTGTCATGGAGCACCATCAAAAGACTGGTACCCAGAGTGTCCAAAAGGCAACTCGACTCTCACCGCGTACACCTGAGAGACTACCAGGGAAACGACATTCCCGTGGTAGGCGTTGGCCGGTTCCGGATCGCCTTCAAGGATTTTTCGGGCCTGCTCCGGTTGGTGGTGGTCGAAGGTCAGCGGCCAAGCCTCCTAGGGCTAGACTGGTTTGATGCCCTCGGCCTGGAAGTCACCGGCATCAACTGCATCTCTAACGCAGAGACTGAGGGTCTGGTCAAAGACTTTGCCGAGGTTTTTGACGGCACCTTGGGCCAATATACAGGTACGCCCATCTCCTTTAGCCTTGATCCACAAGTCGCCCCCATCAAGCTAAAGCCACGCCGGGTTCCCTTTGCTCTCAAGGCTAAGGTGGACGAACAACTGGACAAACTGATCGCCCAAGGAGTTTTGGAGCCGGTTGACCACGCAAAGTGGGAAACCCCCATCGTCACGCCTGTCAAGCCAGATGGGTCGGTGAGAATCTGCGCTGACTACAAGTGCACGATCAACAAGGCACTTCAGCAGCACGCTTATCCGGTTCCTGTTGTCCAACACCTGCTGCATTCCCTGGGTGAGGGTAAGGTCTTCGCTAAGCTGGACCTTGCCCAAGCCTATCAACAACTGCCAGTCGATGATGCCACTGCTGAAGCCCAGACGATCGTCACCCACCGGGGGGCATTCCGTTGCCGCCGGTTGCAGTTCGGGGTGAGTGTGGCTCCTGGCATCTTCCAAAGCCTTATGGAGCGTCTCCTGCAAGGGCTTCCGGGCGTGGTACCATATTTTGATGACGTCTTGGTGTCTGCAGACTCACACCAGCAGCTGTTCGAGCGCCTCCGTGCCGTGCTGACCAGGTTCCAGGAGGCCGGGCTCAAGGTAAAGAGGGAGAAGTGCCAGATCGCCGTTCCACAGGTAGAGTTCCTGGGCTATCTTATCGATGCCTCCGGTCTTCATCCAACCACATCCAAGATCCGCGCTATCCAGCAGGCCCCCACTCCAAAGAACAAAACGGAGTTGCAGGCGTTCCTGGGGCTGCTGAACTTTTATAACATGTTCCTGCCCCACAAAGCCACAGTGGCTGAGCCTCTTCACCGACTCCTTAGCACTAAGACGCCTTGGGCCTGGGGTCATCGGGAGACGGCGGCCTTCAACGCGGTCAAGGCTCTCCTTTCTTCAGACAGTGTGCTGGTACAGTACAGTGAATCCAGACCGCTGGTACTTGCCTGCGACGCCTCACCTTTTGGCATCGGTGCTGTCCTTAGTCACCGTTTTCCAGATGGAAGAGAAGCACCGCTCGCCTACTTTTCCAGGACACTATCTCCGACGGAACGGAATTACAGCCAGCTCGACAAGGAGGCATTGGCACTTGTGGCTGGAGTGAAGAGGTTCCATGAATACCTCTATGGCAGGACTTTTGACCTCATCACTGACCACAAGCCACTCCTGGGCCTCCTCGCCGGTGATCGTCCAACTCCACCGGTCCTCTCACCACGCATGCTGCGATGGACTGTTTTCCTGGCTGCCTACCACTACCGGCTCATCCACCGCCCGGGGAAATCGATGGGCCATGCCGACGCCCTCAGCCGTTGCCCTCTTCCAGCATTTGTGGAAGACCCGGCTCCAGCTTCATCGCTCCTTCTGATTGAGGATCTTCCGGCAGCGCCTGTATCGGCTGCCACTGTGGCCTCCGCATCTGCCCAGGATCGCACCATCAGCCGGGTGCTCAACTGGGTGTGGAGGGGGTGGCCACAAGGGCCCTTTGCATCGGAGTTCCAGCCCTTCGCAACCAGACAACATGAACTCTCAGCTCATCGCGGCTGTCTGCTGTGGGGAGACCGCGTCGTGATTCCCCAGGGACTCCGTCAGCGCGTCCTGGAGGCTCTGCACGTTGGCCACCCGGGAATTGTCAAAATGAAGGCGTTGGCTCGGTGTTACGTCTGGTGGCCTAATATGGACGATGCCATCACTGCCTGGGTGTCCGCCTGTCAAGCGTGCCAGGAGTCGAGGCCTGCACCACCGGCAGCTAAGGGACACACCTGGGAGACGCCAAAGACACCCTGGTCGAGGGTGCACATCGATCTGGCTGGCCCCTTTCACGGCCGGACCTTTATGGTAGTGGTGGACGCCTATTCCAAATGGCTGGAGGTCGCCCTGATGCCCTCCACCACTACCGAAGCTGTCATCCGGGTGCTGCGAGGCCTGTTTGCAACGCATGGGTGTCCTGATGTCCTTGTCTCTGACAACGGACCGCAGTTCACGTCAGGCACGTTTGAGCGGTATCTTTTGGGACTGGGCATCCGCCATGCCCTAACGGCACCCTTTCATCCATCCAGCAACGGGCAAGCGGAAAGAATGGTGCGCTCGACAAAAGAGGCACTGGCGCGCCTGGACCGGGGAGACTGGCATGAGCGGGTCGCCGAATACTTGTTCGCGCAACACATCACCCCTCATGCGGCCACAGGGAGGAGTCCTGCGGAACTGCTTATGGGCCGCCGCCTCAGGTCACCGCTCGACCGGCTACACCCAGACTTTGCCGTGGCTGAACCCCCAGGCTGTGCCAACGCACCACGGTCATTCGTCCCGGGAAACCAGGTCTTTGCCCGGAACTATGTGGGGGACATCCCTTGGGTGCCAGCCACAGTAGTGGGAGTCACTGGACCTCGCTCGTACCAGGTGGCACTCGAAGACGGACGCTTGTGGCGACGGCACATAGACCAGCTTAGGCGCAGGGTTGGGGACTTGGACACTACCGAGGTGCCCCCAACTGCGCTTGCGGCTCCAGAAGAGACACGTACAGATGGCGAGGCCCCACCTACACCTCCCTCGCAAACTGCCAGCGTGGAGCCGAACCAAGCCGTTTCAGAACAGACTCAGACCACTCCACTTGCGGAGGCTCCACTCTCAGCAGCGGATCCAGGGGAGTTGGTTCCAACGCCACCTAGGGTCGCACCACAGCCTCAGCAAGAACTGTGTGGCCCTCCGGACTTGGCTACCAGTCCCCGGCGGTCTGGCAGAGTTTCCAAGCGCCCAACTCATTTAAAGGACTATGTTGTTGGACAGGTATCACTGTTGGTCTAAGTATGGGAAATGTAACCGATATGCTTTTGTGCCTAATTGAACCATTACGCGTAGTGCTGTATATAAGGAAACCATTACGATTGTAACTAACGCCTTATCTCGGTGGGGAGGGGTGTTATGTAGTGTAGTTTCACCCTGGGCCAACAGGGGGATACTGTATATAGTTTTCACTCAGGTCTGTAGATAGTTTTCACTCAGGTCCGCGCCAGTTATTTTAGGCGGGAACTCTGGGCTGTTGTGGTTACAATGTTGACAGCCGGCTGCCTATAAATACAGGCCGGCTGAGCTGTTCGCAGTCAGTTCTATTCCAGCTTACCAGAATAAAGAGCTACTTGAAGAAATCGCTGTGCCGGCTGCTATGTCAACCCACGACTTAACAATTATTATTATTATTATTAAACAATACTTCCTCATTTTCATAGGAGAAATGTTGGAGGGTACACCAGGAGTGGGGAGGGGGTGGCTCTCCCAATGTGGATGGACTCCAACTTCCACCAGGATGGTCAGGGATGATGGTTTCCCAGCCCTGACTTACATTGTGCCAATGGTAAAGTAATGGGAAACCCCCAACTCTTCCTCCGCCTATTCTCGGCCACCTCTGGCTTCCAATGTGTGTATGCAGGCAATGCAAATGTGGTAATACTGCTAGATCAGCGGTTCTGAAGCTGTGTGTCCCCAGATGTTGTTGGACTACAACTCCCATCATCCCTGAGCTCTGGCCTTGCTAGCTAGGGGTGATGGGAGTTGTAGTTCAACAGCATCTGGGAAGATACAGGTTGAGAAAGGCCGTGCTAGATGAAACTAAGGTCCCATCAAGTTCAGCATCTTGTTTTGAACAGCATCCAGCTGGAAAGTCCACCAGCCCCCCCCCTTGTTGTTTGCTTTCCCGTGGCATCCATAGACAAAACTACAGAGAAAATGTCCAGGCCTTAATCCAGCCCATAGGGCTTCAGATTTCGGTTCTACAGACTCTTTTTAAGAGATAAGAGCTGAGCAATAAACACAAATGGCCCGGGGCATATGCTAAGCACAGACACACTGTGGGGCAGTGCAGAATCCACCTGCAATGAGCTTTTGTTTTCAAAAATGAAAACGGGGGCCAAAAGTATGCCGCAGATACAGATTGTGTGTGAACCACGTAGAAGAAACAAGCATACAGTCTCCACTGATTCTGGAATAAAATGTTGTGTGTATGCAGCCCTATACTAAAATATACTCCACTTATCAGATGTTGTTTCATTTTCATCTCAGTTATTTTATTACAACGTTTTAATCACATCATTCTTTAAACGTTTGCAGCCCTTATTACTCAAATTTAACTTTGTTTCCTTCTTTTGCTCTTATTGTACGGAGTATTTTAAACTGGTGTATGCTTTGCAGATCTTATATATTGTGTGCATGTTTACAATAGACAGTTGAAGAAGACCTCTGGTCAAAACATCTTTGGTTTAGCTATGGTAAGTTTTCCGAAAATGAGTTCATGTTATTCTATTTCGTGGAATTTTGCTATCCAGATCCCAATTTGCTTGCAGAGGTTCGTATCCCCACGCAGCCACGAAGCTCACTGGGTGACCTTGGGCCATTCCTGGTCTCTCAGCCTAACGAACCTCACAGGAATGTTGTTAGGATGAAATGGGGAAGTGGAGAACCATGCACATCCCAGTCTATGGGATGCAGGAGTTGACGGCAGATGGCGAACGTCTTACCTGCTGCCAGCTAACAATCTCGCTTGTAAGATTTCTTGCTTCTGCTAGATCCACATAGAGAATGTGGACCCCTAGGCCAAAGAATTTGCACATAGCAAAATCTATGCTGACTGAAGCAAATGAATCCTGATACCCTTGAAACTATCAAAGAGGCGAAGGTGTGCATGTACTTTGTTTTTTATAGGTAAAAGGTAAAGGTAAAGGACCCCTGGGCGGTTAAGTCCAGTCAAAGGGGACTATGGGGTTGCGGCGCTCATCTTGCTTTCAGTCCGAGGGAGCCGGCGTTTGTCCACAGACAGCTTTCCGGGTCATGTGGCCAGAATAACTAAACCGCTTCCAGCGCAATGAAACATCTGGGGACAGAACCCCAGAGCGCACAGAAATGCCATTTACCTTCCCGCAGTAGTGGTACCTATTTATCTACTTGCACTGGTGTGCTTTTGAACTGCTAGGTTGGCAGGAGCTGGGACAGAGCAACGGGAGCTCACCACGTCACAGGGATTCGAACTGCCAACCTTCTGACCGGCAAGCCCAAGAGGCTCAGTGGTTTAGAGTAGACCACAGTGCCACTTGTATTTGTGTCTGTGTGTGTGTGTGCGCGCGCGTGCACCCACACTCACACCCCCTGTGCCTTCTGGGAAATGTATGATTGAAGAAAGTGCCAGAGTATTATTCCCTAGGGAAATAATAATACAGTAGCAGCTATTTTCATCAATCCTCTGTTTCTTCTCGTTTTCCAATGCAGCAGCTATCTAAAGGAATAAATGAGTTTTATCGTGGGATGGAGGGGGAGTTTTGCTACACTGTTCGACTGCATTAATTCATTATAGTTTGGTGCCTGTGCTCTGGTTCAGCAGCATGGCCCTGTGGACATTCTCGGTGAATCTGCAACAGAAACGCTGCTGGTTTGAACAGGCTTGGAGCTGGGAGGGTTCCAATTAGACCCAGCAAATGTGAAAGGGACATTTTTTATGATGGTGCACGACCCTTCCTGCTAGAAAGATCTTGGCCCCGCCATCTCATGCAGAATTGTTCTTTCTATCAAGAGAGTTTGGGAAGTCACATTTGCCCGGGGATTCAGTTCTCTCAGATTTCCCAAACTTGCCCTACGGTCAGGCTGGGTTTGTTACGGGGACATGGAAAGGGAAGGCAAAATGGGCTCCGTGGAAAAGCAGAGGCAGGCACAGTTTGTGTGACTCATGGCATGAGTAACGCCAGGGCACTAAAAACACAGCTGTCAGACTTGATGCAGTGTTGCGATGCCAGCTTGTATACTTAAGCCTTTTAAAGAGCAATGGCACAGTGTGTTCTTCATGGAGATCACGTGTCGCAGTGGGGGCCACCAGGACACTCCAAAGTTGGGAGAGGGCTAATTGATTGTTGGCCACTGATGCGATTGGGCTTCCCTTGTTGTTGGGAAGAAGTTAATGTTGCCATTTGTTGATTGACAGCCAGAAATGCTAAAACTCCTTGCACGAGGCTAGAGCTTCCTCTTTTCACCCCGTGCATCGGATTGCCCGTCCTCCCCCCCCCATATTTAGGGTTGTTCACTTGACCTTGCTATGCCTGTCATGAGGTCGTCTGCTTTGGGGCAGGGGCCCAGTAGGAATTTTGTCCATCTGGCTGATTGTCTGGGGCCATTTGGTTTTTGCCTACTCCGTGGAAAATTGTCACAACTTGTAAGGTTGTGGTTAGGCATTGGTTTATGGTTTGGTTGGTTGAGGGCATGGATTGGCTGTGCCTGCCCCTCTAATGCTGCTGCTGCAAGGGATTCCGTTAAAGGAATCAGGAGCTAAATATTGCATGTCCACCCTGTCAAGGGGGCTCGGGCCATTGCAAGAGCACTTGGTTGCATTTGGGGAGGTCTGAGGGCAGGTTCCCTGCTCCGTCACTAGCCCCAAGTGTATTCCCCTTTTCTGACTTTTGCAGGCGTGTGGAATGTCAGTCTGTCCCCCATGGGGGGGGGGGGGCAGATAGTTGCAACCAATGCCTAAGCAACCACTCACATTTTTGTATTTTAATAAAGTTGTGGCCAAAATTATGCCAAAACCTTAAACAAAAATTTCTGTGTGATGTGTGAGTTATTGGGGTGGCCCTGGGGACCTCGACACGCAACATGTTGTAAACAGCACATTTTTATTATTTTTTGAAAAAGGTCAACGGTAACAATGTTGGAGAAAATAGGTTCACAACTGTGGTGCAATTTCTAAACAAGTCTGAAAAGGCCGAAAATAAATGTATGCCTAATTATAATTTCTGAACAGATCGTACAATGCCTGGCACTGCGACGCTTTCTCTATTCCTCGGTTTGCACATAAGGAAAGGGATTTGACCGCACAGAACAGCTTGGCCTACATCTGCAAACCTGCACTGGGATGCTGACCTTTTGGGGGGACGAAAGGGCAAATTCAAAAATCTGCCTTCCGTGAGTGTGCTGCTGCTACAGATGAGGAAGTCGACTGAGGGGTGCAGCTGCCACTGTGGGTTCCTCCCCCTGTTTTTCTAGACGTGGTTGTCTTAATGGGAAGTTTGTGTGCCAAGCACATTGAAAGGAAAAAAAAGTGATTACATGTCTGACTGTCATGTCACTGCTGGGTCAGACAGCTATAGTGTGTATATAATAAAATGATGTGAATGGAATTGCTCCCTCATATAAAGTCATACAGCCAAAGGCCATTCTTTATGATTTATGATTCTCTTGGCACAATAATAAAAATGATTTTCAGTTTCTCTTCAGTGTGTGACTCACATTATACACTACAGTTTCCCCAAGTGTTTCTCTTTCCTTTTCCTTAACAAAAAGTGTGTGTGTGTGTGTGGGGGGGGTGTTTTGTGTCATGGGAGCCAATATCTACAGATTCCTCTGGAAACAAGGGGTTTTAAAAGTCATTTTTCTTACCTCTTTTCAACTCGCTTTGCTTTAGGCTGGTGTTTGTCTTCAATAAATGAACTATTTAGAGCACGGTGCAATCTCTAGAGGAAAAGCAGGGCACAAATTAATCAGTAGCATAATCAGCCTTGCATTTTAGGGTGGAGAGGATAGGAAATATGAACGCTGCATGTAACAGGCTGCGATTTTGTTTGAAGCGAAGCACAGTGGAACCTTGGTTCTCGAACAGCTTAGTTGACGAACAAATCAGCTCCCCAACACTGAAAACCCAGAGTGTTCCGGTTTTCAAATGTTTTTGGGAAGCCAAACGTCCGATGCAGCAGTCTGCTATTGTTTCCAGGACGCCTGCGCCAGTTGGAAACCATGCCTTGGTTTTTTAACGTTTCGGGAGTCGAACGGACTTCTGGAACGGAAGAAGTTTGAGAACCAAGCTAACCACTGTACTGAGCTGTTTGTGTATGACCCCCACCATTGTGATTCTCAGAGCGATCCCACCTATCCCATTTTCACCGATGCTGTATGGTTTGGGAAGAGACCACAGAAGATAGCTAGAACCTTTCTCATTTAGACAAGATGCTTAGAAAGTTGAAGTAATTTTGATCCTTTCTAGTATTTTAACATTTGTTTGTTTGTATGTTTGTTTAATTTGTATACCGCCCTATACCCGCAGGTCTCAGGGCGGTTCACAGCATAAAATCGCAAAATAAAAACACAAAATACATAATAAAAACAAAAACAAGAACAACTCAATAATTCTCCTGCTCCCCAAGACATTTCAAAAGGGCATTGGATGTCAATCAGCCGAAGGCCTGGTTAAAGAGGAACGTTTTTGCCTGGTGCCTAAAGGTACATAATGAAGGCACTGGTCAAACCTCCCTGGGGAGAGCATTCCACAAACTGGGAGCCACTGCAGAGAAGGCCCCGTTCTTGTGACGCCATTCTCCGGACCCTCATGGAGTAGGCTCATTAAGAAGGGTCTCAGAAGATGATCTTAGGGTCTGGGTAGGTTCATATGTAAAGAGGAGGTCCCTGAGATACTGTGTTTTGAAGTATGGCTGTGATTCCCCCCCCCCCCCCGATTTTCTTGTTTTGTCTTTTTGTAAACAGCTTTGAGGGTTTTCCCCACTCAGTTAAGTGGTGTTAAATTTTTATGAAATAAAATAAATACAATTAAAAAAACAAAACCTTTGCTTCTCTGGATGGAGGATATAGAGAGGTTACCCAAGGCAGTTTTGTGGTGTAATCCATTCAGAACAAGAGTGATTTAACACCAGGAGGACGTACCTGACTTGTATGAAGCCAGTATCTCAGCTTGGATTTCTTTTTGATTCGTGGGATCACCAGCCTGTACACGATGTGCTCTCCAATAGTAGTGAGAATTGACAAGCCAAACCCAATGCATAGCATCACAAAGAGTCCAGAAAAGTGCTTGATGCCCATCTGCAGTGTCTGTTAAGAAAACAAAGGAAGTGAGCAACATTAGAAAAACTGGAATAAGGATATAGTCTGGTTGGTTTTCTTCTTGCTTGTTTAGTCCTTGCCCCACCCAGGTCTAATCAGACCCAAGATCCACCTCCATTCTCCCACCCAGGTCTAATCAGACCCAAGATCCACCTCCATTCTCCCAATCTTGGGTCTAATCGGATCTTGGGTCTAATCAGACCCAAGATCCACCTCCATTCTCAACATGCAACAGGTCCCCTCTCTTTATCACATATGCCCATTTTATCCTTCCCTCTTTCACTGCGCTTGTGCTCATCCCCAGCATCTGATACAGCATGAGGCGCTTTAGCCAGAGGCAATTCTGTGCTGAAATTAGGGTTGCTACCCATCCCTGGAAAAATGGGATCACCTCATTTTTGGACAAAAATGTCCCTTGTCCCATTTGGACTTCAAATGGGATGTCTCCACACCTCCACACCCACACCCCGTATTCAAGCATGGCTGGCCCAAAATGGCGGCTGCATCACTGTTAGTGCAGCTGATGAGGGGTCTGGCCTGGTTCAAGCATGAGCGATGCTCCTCAGCAGCAGCCTGATGGTCTAGCATGGTGTTATGTATTGAAGTTCTCACCCTGGCCACCAGGGGTATTGTGTATATAGTTTTCACTCAGGTCCACATCAGTTAATTTAGGCGGGAAACCCTGGGCTGTTGTTGTTACAATGTTGACAGCCGGCTGCCTATAAAAGCAGGCCGGCTGAGCTGTTCAGTTCAGTTCAGTTCCAGCTTACTATAAAGAACCACTTGGAGAAATCTCTGTGTCGACTGCTATGTCCACCCACAACCTAATATATGATATGGGTCGGCTGCTGCTTGGCCACTCTGCCACACCAACCAGACCTTTCCTCCTTCCTCCTCCTTCCTCTTCTGGGCTTGAGTCTCTTCTGACGCAGCATGCAGGTGCAGCTCAAGTCATTCATGGGAGACGGCCATCTAACCCTGGCCTCTGCCCATCTATGTGGGTGGAGTGGAAGAGCAGGACACCTAGCTCTGAGGGCCTTCTGGTGGTCCCCTCACTGCAATAAGTGAAGTTCCAGGGAACCAGGCAGAGGGACTTCTCGGTAGTCACACCTTCCCTGTGGAACACCCTCCCACCAGATGTCAAGGGGATAAATAACTCCACAACTTTTAGATGACTTCTGAAGGCAGCCCTGTACAGTGGTACCTCTGGTTGCGAACAAGATCCGTTCTGGAGCCCCGTTCGCAACATAAGCAGAATGCAACCTGCGTCTGCGCATGCGCGAGTCACGATTTGCCGCTTCTGCGCACGTGCGCGACGTCATTTTGAGCGTCTGCGCATGCGTGAGCGGCGAAACCCAGAAGTAACCTGTTCCATTACTTCCGGGTCGCCGTGGGATGTATCCTGAAACAACGTAACCTGAACCGAATGTAACAAGAGGTATGACTGTATAGGGAAGTTTTGAATGTTTGGTGTTTTATTATGCTTTTATGTTTGCTGGAAGCCTCCCAGAGTGGCTGGGGCAACCCAGTCAGATGGGCAGGGTACGAATAATAAAATCATAATAATCTTTTAAGCTCACTACCTTAGCCACAGGAAAAAAGGTAAATTTACCTTGTTTACCACCTAGTAACCCTTGTTACTAGTTACGCGGGTGGCGCTGTGGGTAAAAGCCTCAGCGCCTAGGGCTTGCCGATCAAAAGGTCGGCGGTTCGAATCCCCGCGGCGGGGTGCGCTCCCGCTGCTCGGTCCCAGCGCCTGCCAACCTAGCAGTTCGAAAGCACTCCCGGGTGCAAGTAGGGACCACTTACTAGCGGGAAGGTAAACGGCATTTCCGTGTGCGGCTCTGGCTCGCCAGAGCAGCGATGTCACGCTGGCCACGTGACCCGGAAGTGTCTCCGGACAGCGCTGGCCCCCGGCCTCTTGAGTGAGATGGGCGCACAATCCTAGAGTCTGTCAAGACTGGCCCGTACGGGGAGGGGTACCTTTACCTTTTAACCCTTGTTAAGTACCTGACCAATTTGTAGCTATCTCTGGAGAGAACCAGGGATCGCAAACAAAATGTATGACGTGCGATTAATACCAGCTTGATGCCCTTTTGTCCATTAGGACATTCTCCTCAATAAGCCCCCATGAAATACGTAAAACTCTGGTGTTTCTGCTATAATATTCTGTCTCGTGGTAATTAATGAGTGAAGGGTGCTATTGACTGACGCTCTCAAATTCGTCTTGACCAACCTCATGCAAAACAAATAGATGGGTTCCTAATGGAGGCATTTCAATATATGGGTAGTTTCCTGTTGGTAGGTAGGTGTGCATCAGAACAAATATCTTTCTCTGTTCACAAAGGAGATGCCAAAACAAAGCACGAACGAAAAAGCCGATAAATATGCTGTGACAGCTCTCTTGAAAGCCTACATTTCAGATGCACATTTAAATAAAAATAGAAGAAGAGGAGGCAAATATAATTACAGCAACAGCAGATTTAAAAACTGGCAATTTTCTTAGCTGTATATATCATAACACACACACACACACACACACACACACACACACACACACACACATTTTGGGCAATCATAGAGCAAAATATGTATAAATTTCAATAAAGACAACAGAGCCTTGTGGCACCTTAAAGAACTGACCAAAGCGGAATCAAGTGGTATTATTCCATTCCTTGATCTGGACGCTATGCTTCTGTTGATGCAGCCTAGAATAGCATTAGCTGTTTCCCCCCTGCTGTATCACATTGTTAACTCATATCAAACTTAAGGTTTACCAAGACCTCTAGAACTTTTTCACATGCATCGCTAGCAAGGCAGGTGTCTCCTGTTCTAAATTTTGGCATTGGATAATTCCTGCCTTAGGGCTTATCCATACACCTGTTTGTCCTGAGACTCCCCCCCCCCCCGGGAAAACCTTTCTTTTAGTGCTGAATCGTAACAAAGGGAGTGGGCTTTCTGTGGATTACCATTTGTTTCGATTTAGCGCTTAAAGAGCAGGGGGAAGTGGCGGGTCAAAGGCAAACTTGCTTGGACCTGTGTCTAGAAAACACGGGGTGAGCAAAAACCAGCTTGGACCCATGTTTTCTAGGTATGGGGCAAGCAGAAAGTATGGATGGCACCTGAGTATAGTACTTTACATTTGAAATTCACTTTGTTTGTTAGTCTGCCCCCCTCCCCCGTAACCAGCTCTGGTAAGTAGTCTAGCCACAGTCTCTTAAAACTAAATGCTCCCCAAATGCTATTGTTGTTATTAAAATGAATTACAAAGTGCAATTCAGAGCACGACTGTGATGGAGGGAAAAGGATAAAAGCAACAGCAACAGCAACATTAGCCAAAGAATGTGGCTAATACAACAGCAGCAACAGCAACAGCAACAATTTTATTATTTGTACCCAATTTGGCCCCAGGACTGAAAGTACAGGTTCTTTCGATGGCACAGATAAGCTTCGCCAAGCTGAAAAAACCAGAATTGATCCAGCTCCAGGGTATGCCAATCTCAATAAAACTTTTGTTTTGGTTTGGTTTTGCCCCTTTCCTTTCTATAAACCGCATTAGTGAAATCTAATCTCGCTCACTGGCTAAAGCAAGCTTTGTAATGAAAATGCGCCACTGCAGAAAAGGTTTCAATATCATTCCCTTCCTATTCAGAACTGATAGCAAAAAAGTGTGGCATCTGTGCTTGATTAATTAAGTAACGAGCTTAATGATTCCATTTACTTAATGGAGGGGGGGGGCCCTGTTCAATTTCAATGAGCTGAGGCCAAATCAAAGTGAAGGTGGAATTCAAAGTGAAATATCCGAGTAGACCGGACACCTGAGGGGGTTTGGTTTTTCTTACAAGGATTCTGCTGTGAAAATATTCCCTTTAACTGGGACCTTTGTAAAACTGGGATGGCTTCTCCAAATCAGGGACGTCCCTGGAAAATAGGGACACTTGGAGGGTCTGAATGTACAGAGTTACGTGATTTAGAGGAAAGCTTCCAAACAGATCCTACAGAGGTGCAAAAGCTGTCCTCTTCCATGCCTGAGTTGGGAAGACGGAAAATGCCGAGAAAAGCTTGGAGTTCAGGCAGAGAACTGAGCCGCCCATTGAACAGTCAGCAAAGTCCGACTCCAACGAAAGACTCAGCAAGACACTTTGTGATAGAAATGGGAAGTAGGGCCAGTTGAGGAGTTGCCAACAGTAGACATTTGCAAATTGCTTTGCAAAAATGTGTCTGTTAGGAGAAAACCAGGGCAAAATGCTGGTGAATTTTCAGGGTGTGTATGTGTGTGAATCTGTGGGATGTCACACATAGAAAGCAGTCAAGTACAACATTCCTAGAGTGGACATGAAAGGGGATGTTTGCTCCAACCAATCAGAACTTCCTGTGTCCTCCTGAGCTGGGACAAACTTCCTCTGCATGTGACTAGAGGGGGGCGTGACCTTGCCTGCTCAGGTAACAAAAAGGCAAGATACACTTCCTTCTTTTGGACTTCTTTTGGACTCTTTTCCATCTTGTTTTCATCGTGAGAAGCAGTGACTGCCTGTGGGGTAGTTCCACATGTATATACTTTGTAACCTAAGGCTGCCTTCAGGGATCCATCTGTGAACTGAATGTGTGAGTAAACTTATTTTATAATACTTTGCACAAGATTGTGTCATGTCTGTTCTTTTTAAGGGGGAGAAAAGGGGATTACCAGGAATCCTATATTGAGAAGCTTAAACAAGCTTGCAACAAGTTAACTGTTGTGCGTTTAAAGGGGAATGTTAAAACTCTGCTAAGTTATAGAACTTGCTGGTGCAAGCGAGGAAGGATATTATAAAACAATATATCCTCTCCAGCCTCCTTGAACATTCCAACAGAATAATAGAGTGGTGTGAAAATGTAGAAAACTAATATAGGAAAAACGAGAAAGCGACAGAAACTGAAATTGATAGATTTGCCCATCCCTACCACAAACGTTGTGCAAAAAAAGCAGGGTGAAGGCACAATAAACAGGT